AGAGAAGCCTGTTCATTCTGGGTTGCTTCTTTTCTTATAGAATCTTTTAATTACTGCATTTCTAAGGTACTTACATTTGCCAGTAAGTCTGTCTTTTATTCCTCTAATAATAGTTCCTAAGGTACATCCCATAAATTACCTCCTCCCTTTTCCACTCCTCCCCCTCTTGAAATAATTCTGGGGGAAAAACACCACTAAAAATGTAATTTTAAGCATCGTCTTTGGATTAGTTCATGTGCTCATTTTTTATGTATTACTGTCATTAGGGCTCTGCTTTTCCTTCCCTCCTCTTATAGATGCCAATCTCTCAGCAATGTCTTCTCTTGATAGCTTTTCATTTTCTTTCTGAAAACTGGAACCCAGACAAACAAACCTTCATTCACTCTCTACATTCTTCCTTTCTTTAACTTCCCCTAATTCCTGGTTTTCTTTAAGGACCTTCAATTTGAAGACCATTCATTATGAAGGGACTCCACTAATTTTTGCTGGTTTCTTTTCTGCTCCCCTGAGACAAATCTACATTCCACTGACCTTCATTATTACCTAAATTTGCCAGTTTTGCCCCTTGTATTTACAGCCTGGATATACCCAGAGGTACCCATCTTTTGATGGAGGAGTTGTGCTTCTCCATCAAATACTCCTTGAAATCTCAACTCCTTTCTGAAGTTTGACCAGATTAAGTCAAAGAGAAATATTGTTGGCCACCATTTGCTGCCACTGAAAAATTATCATCATGTATCTTTGTGAAAACACTCAAATATCTTGAAGAATTATGTAATACATATATATATGCATACACATACACATATGTGTGTGTGCTTTGAAATATGCTATATAAATGTTATGAGAAGGAGGAGGAGAAATAGAAAGAAGAAAAGGGAATTTGGGGGACACAAAAGGAGAAGGAGTGGGGGGAGAGAGCTTCCATTCCAAAGACTACTCCTAAAAAATGGAAATATTTCTTTCCTTGCAGAAATAGGTACAACAAAAGACCACAATAATGTATTATCTTCTGACTGTTCCTTATTGGATCATTTAACAGAAAAAGTTTATTGAACAACTACAAACCATTAGTACCAAGACACTATGCTGGGTGCTAAGACACATTTTATTTTTTTGAAAAGAATACCACCGTTGCCTGCATACATTCCATTGTAGAAGGCTGTATCATATGCATTAAATGAAATTTCATTTAATGACCTTTTCCTAGACAATAAGACATTATGATTAGATGTTGATTCGCTATCATTCTCTAATTCTCCAAACGCAATTATTCTCCATCAGCCAATCAACCAGTTAATCGGTCAATCAACAAAAATTTATTAGGCATCTACTACTTGTCAGGCACTAGGATTACTAAGACAAAAATGAAACAGGCCTTGCCTTAAAGGTCTTGATTTTATTGTGAGAAAGAGTGAATACCAATGTAAGTATGTACAAATATAGACACAAAATAAATATAAAATGTAGGAGAAGAGAAAGTGTAGTCTAGATGGGGGGTGGGGGATGGACAGTGTAAAGGCACGTAGGTGAAAGATGAATTGTTGTGTGAGAAAAACATGAAGACGATGAGTCTGGATGTACTGTAGAGTGTAGCGGGGGGGGGCCATAGAATAATGTTGGATAGATTGGGAAGGGTTTTAAGAGACAATGCTTGCAGGAATTAGGATTTAGGTTGGGGCATATATTATACCTGGTTTTTAGATAGGGAAACAGAAATAAAGGTGAATAAAATAAATCAAGACATATAATCAGTAGCAGAGGAAGGCCTAGGGCCTAGGGCCTAGACCTTCTAAATTCTGGTCCACTGTCTTCCCCTTTCATTATAATAACAAAACTGCCTTTTAAAATGCACATGTTAATATAAAACTATCAGGGCAAAATGTCAGGTTTCTGTCAAATAAACAGTAAAATATATACCGTATTCATAGTGAGTTTATGTTTGATATATTTCTTAGATAATAAAATATTTGAAAACAAATTAAATTTTTATCAAAATCCTAGGCAAAGTGTGCCCTTTCCTCTTGTTTGTTCAGTTTTTGATAAAATTTTAATATAGATTTGATATTACAACAAAAAAAGGAGTTGTATACTTTGATTTCAAAGTCAAGTGAATTTTGGAATTCTAAAGGCAAGGCAATGACATCAAAGTTATTCAAATAGCCACTGCATAGATAACATTAGTTAGAGAGTATATATTGCAGTGCTCTTATTAAGTCTTCTGATGATTTCTCCTCCTTAAAGAACCCTTCCCCGCCCAAGGCAGACCACTTGGTGGATATTAATGTATTTATTAACTACCAGGAAAAATATCAGCAGGTATATATATCTAGGAAGCACAGCTCACATTTACATCAAAACTTTAGATCCAAAGGATCCCAAGGTTAAAAAAAAATAAACATTGATGATTGATTAAACTGAATTATTATGTATCTATTAAGATGCCAAGAAGAAGGCCTCCAGCAAATTGGGAAGACTCGGGCAAGAATCTCTGCAGTTCAGACTGTGTAGATTTCTTGTGATCTGCATTGTTAGTGGGAATGCACATGTTGGAGAGAAGTTTTGATGATGCTCATTATTAACTCCTTCCACCTCCGAATTGCCCCGAATCTTGTTTTGTATACATTTTGTATGTATTTATATGTGTGCATATTATTTTCCTTCAAAAGAATGTAAACTTCTTGAGGGCAGGGACTGCTTCATTTTTATCTTGCATATCCAGCTCCTAGCACAGTACATACTTCATAGTAGCATTTAATAAATGCTTATTTATTGATTAATATCTCATTAGATTGCAAGCTCCTTGAGGGCAGGGACTGTCTTTTGCCTCTTTTTGTATCCCTAGTGCTTAGCACAGTGCCTGGAATATGGTAGGAGCTTATGTTTATTTATTGTTTAATAATAGATTGATTTCCCAAAGCGATTGTTCTACTTATTTTGTTCTTAAATCAAGTCCCCAGTTGTACCTTCCTATTCCATGTTCCTATCTCATCTATGTTCTTTCCTTCTTGAGAAGGAAGGAGCATGGGGAAGCTGCATAAATACCATACTTGAAGTCAGGAAGACCTTGGTTTAAAATATGCCTCAGGCCTTTACTAACTTTGTTACCCTAGGCAAGTCACTTAATCTTGCTGGGCCTTAGAGTGCTCATCTATGAAATAAAGGCCTTGATGACCTACCTACCTCTCCAGCCCTTTCCAGGTCTGGCCAAAGTCCTTGAAAAAGATGTTTCCACCTGAAGTTTCAACCCTTCCTCATTATCTACTCACTCTTCAACTTCTTGAGATATAGGTCTATCTCCTGGGACCAAGGGGAGCAAGTCCAATCTCTTTCCTTTCACGTGATAATCCTTCAGATGCTTGAAGACAGCTATCATGCTGCCCCTGAGTCTTCTAAGATCCCCAGGTCCTTCACTTGACCCTCATATGACATGCTCACCAGGCCTATCTCCAGCTTTGTTGTGGTCTTGTGAATCACACTAGTAATTCTATGGCTTTCCCTGAATGTGAGGCCCAGAATTAGGCACAGTATTCCAGATGTACTATGACTAGGGCATGGGATGGGGGAATGGTGACCTCCCTCCAGGACATCTCAGTGCCTCTCAGTTCAGCCTAGGATAGTGTTAGTCGTTTTGGCTAATAAGACACACGGCTGACTCTTCTTCAGCTTTCAGTTCATTAATAATTCCAGATTTTTTTTTTTCACATATACTGTTGTCTAACCATGGCCAACTCATTCTCTACTTGTAGTTTTGTTTTGTTTTTTTTTTTGCTCAAGAGTAGATCTTTAAATTTATAGTCATCCTTTTATTCTATTTGGTCAACTGTTCTAGCCCATAAAGGTCTTTTTGCAACCTGTCATTGTCATCTAGTGCGTTATCAATCCCTCCTATTTGTGTCACTTTCAAGTTTGATGATTATGCATCATCTGTGCCTTCCTCTAACTCACTTATCTAAATTCTCATCAGCACGACTTCAAAAATAGATCTCTAGGACACTCCATTACAGATTTCCCTCCAAATTAACGTCAACCTATCAATGACTTTTCTTTGGGTCCAGTTCTTCCACCAGTTCCAAATCTTCCCAACCACACCATTTCTCCATCTTGTCTACAAGTCTAGAATGAATGACTTTGTCAAATACTTTGTGGAAGTCTTAGTATACTGTGTATACCGAAGTTCCCTGAAATGCAGATTGAGGGGCAGGTAAGCTGGACATAAAAAGGAAATGAGGTTAGTCTGCTATGACCTGTTCTTGATGAAGCCGCTTTTGATCACAGCTTCCTTTTCTAAGTGCTCCCAAATCATCCCTTTAATCACGTTTTATAGAATTTTACCAGGAATTGACAGCAAGCTCACTGGTCTCTAGTTTGGAGACTCCACCCTCTTCCCCTTTATGAAAATTGAAACAACATTTTTCCAACTCCTGTCTTGCTGACCATCTTAAATTCCCTGAGAGCTTTCAAAGATCACTGACAATGGCTCAGAAATCTTCTACGCTACCTCCTCCCCACCTTTTTTTTTCCTATGTTTTTTTTCTTTCAACTAAACTTGACACCAATTTGATTGATTTTTTTTAATGGTATCTTTCTTCTATAACTTTCCATTTTTCTTCAGTGGTGGCCTATCTTTTAGATAACCAACATGAAAATGGTGCAAGATACATATCATTCAGTGTGATGAAAATACAACATTCAGTTTGAATTTTGGTTTCTTGTTACCCATGTTTCTCTTTGGCTACTGGTCCTTTACCTTTTCTCTACTGTCATCCTTCTCTCCTCTATATTTGCGAGTGGAAAGAGAACCCAATTCTGACTTCCACTTACTATCAGTATCCTTAGGCAAAGTCAGATTATCACACAGTGCCTCAGTTTCCTCATGTAAAATGAAGGAACTGCATTAAATGATGATTAAGACCCCTAGTGTGTGTGCAGTCATTTTTCAGTCTCCTCTGACTCTTTGTGACCCCATTTGGGGTTTTCTTGGAAAACATACTGGAGTGCTGCCCATTTGACTACCATTTTTTCACTTCATATATTCAGTGGCTATGCTTCTGGAATAAAATATAGTTGCCATGGTCTGATGGACAAAGAGTGGTCATGTCTTTTTTTTCCTATATGAAAAGGCAGAATAATCTAGTTCTATTGTATGTTATATTTGATATAAAAATGATGGATAACCACAACTACTGTAAAATGCTTGTCAAACTTGATAAGTATTGATTTCTATATATTTCAAATGTTTTAAATAAAAATTTAAAAAAGAGATACTAAAGTGGTTTGCCATTTCCTTCTCCAGCTCATTTTACAGAGGAAGAAACTAAGGCAAAGAGGGTTAAGTGACTTGCCCAGGGTTACACAGCTAGTTAGTGTCTAAGGCCAAATTTGAATTCAGGTCCTCCTGGATCCAGGCCCAGTGCTGTATCCACTGAGTTACCTCTCTGCCTAAGATTCCTTCCAGCACAAAACCTATGACCCCAGAATCTTATAATAATTTCTCCTGTTTTTTCCAAATTCAACTTTCTAGTACCTATTCACCTTCTTTCTTCTCCTGCAAGCCTGAGTTTCTTTCTAAGAATCACAATTTCTCATGGTTTTCACCTATCTAAATCTCATTGTCTGTGCTCTTACCTTCTGATAATAAATGGTGATTACATTGTACTCCTGATCCAGCTTGGGGACAGAGAGGGAGAAACCCCACCCTGGATTTATGATTCATGAAAAAAAAAAAAGTGAATTTTGGCTGGAATCCGAGGTAGCAAGTCTACCTAATTCAAAATGAGTCTACTAGAAGGAGTGCAAAACCTTTGAGTCATATCCACAACTAAATCTAATTTTCATAAGTAATTATGGGATTGTATCTACTTTATTTGCATTGTTCAATGGAACTGTTCAGACCAAAAAGAAATTTCCAAGATATGACTGAGATGACACTGAGCCAAGGGATTTAACTTTACTTCACAAAAGGAAAGGAAGAAGTTAACTTAATGTGAAATATATTTGCCTTTAGATGGGTTCCAAAATAGTTACCAGTTCACTGGCTACTAAAAACTGCAATCTTGCTACTAGACTGGCAAGATGCCTGAAGCTCATGACCTGTGTTTTGTTTTTTTTTCTCATAAGTCTAGTGTATAAATGATATAGGCACCCACTCAAAGTCATGAACTCTCTGAACTGATTTCCTTTTCCATAAAACAAGAATAATAATGGTGTCTACCTCACAGGGTTGTTGTAAGGGTGAAATGAGAACATGCACCATTAGAAATCTTAAAAGATTATATAAATGTGAAAAACCAAACTAGGCTTCAGTTTTCTCATCTGCAAAATGGGAAAGGCATAGGATAGACCGGTGGTATCCAACTCAAATAGAAACAGGGGCCACTAAACTGTACATAAGGATCTCAGTGGGCTACATATTGACTTGTTTTTGTTCAGTCATTTTCATTTGTGTCTGACTCTTTGTGACCCCATTTGGGGTTTTCTTGGCAAAGATACTGGAGTGGTTTGCCATTTCCTTCTCCACCTCATTTTACAAATAAGGAAACTGAGGCAAACAGGGTTAAGTGACTCACCCAGGGTCACACAGCTAGTAAGTGTCTGAGGCTGGACTTGAATTCAAAAAAAGAGGCTTTCTGACTCCAGGCCACTGCCACCTAGGTGTCCCACATAGTGACTTAGAAAACCACATATTCATATTATCTATGTTCTACTGTACTTTTATGTATTTTGTTAAATATTTCCTAATTACATTTTAATCTGGTTCAGGCCACACTGGGGAGTGTTGTGGGCAGGATGTTTGGCACCCCTGGCCTAAATGATTTCTTAAAGTTTCTTAGCTCTACATCTGTGATTCTGTACTGGCTCTTGCTGGGGCTCACAGGTACTTATCCCATTGAGGTTGTTCCTGCGCCCTTCCTTCCCTCTCTCTGATTGGGGAAGGTAGAGAGTGGATATTAGGAAAGGCCCTTCCAGATCCACCCAGGAGGGCACCCAGAGCAGCCACCTCATCATTTCCTACCTGGTTACATTCCTCTGGATTTCATTGTGCCCCCACTTGGTGAACCCTCCCTCTTCCACTTACTAGCTATGTGACCCTGGTCAAATCAATTAACCTCTGTTTGCCTCAGTTGCCTCATCTGTAAAATGGGGAGAATAATAATAGCATCAACCTCCCAGGGTTGTTGTGAGGACCAAATGAGATGTTAATTGTTAAAGCATTTAGCACAGTGCCTGGCACAAAATGAGCTCTATGTATAAGTTAGTTACTATTATTACTATATTATATTGGCTTCCTCCATTGAATTGTGAGCTCCTTGAAGGCAGGGACCATTTTATGCCTTTCTTTGTATCCCTAGCACTGAATACTGTGCCAGGTACACACTAGGTGATTATTAAATTTTATTGAATGACTGAGGTGTTAGCCACTGGCCTGGAACTCCTTTGGATTCCTTCTCTCACAGTTTGACCTGTGAGCGCCATAGTTCTAAGAGTCCACAGTCCACCCTCCATTTCCTATAACGGAAGCAGAGAGGAAGAATGGAAAGTAAAGGGCTATAAGGTCCTTCCTGCTCCATCATTAAGCCCATGGTAATTTTAGTCAGGACACAGCCCAGGGTCAAGAAAGCCAAAATCAAACCAGGAAGCCAGGAAGTAATCAGGAATCAGAGTCAAGTTACCAGAATAGGGTCAGAAGCAGAAAGGTCATGATTTGGGGTGAGGCAATCCCAGCCAAAGGGAAATGGGGTCAGGAACACAGAAGCTGAAAGGCAGTGGGAGAAGGAGAAAAGCCTCAGGCTCAGCTCTAGGGCCCTGCTCTCCTTAATAGTGGAGCTCCATTCAACCCTCTCTGATAGCCGCCATTTTAGAAAAAGCCCCAGCCAGGCTTCACTTCTATCTTCCTGGAGCTCTCTCTGGAATCCTTCTCCTCACCTGCTATATTACCCCTCCCTCCAGATCTTTTTATATGTTATTTCCCCATTAAAATATAAGCTCCTTGAGGACAGGGACTGTCTATATGATAAAACTCAAAATTTTATATGAAAATGAATGTTAAAATTTGTCTTCACATGTAATTAGAAAAAAAATAAAACAGTATCTCCTGGAAAAACAAACAAACAAACCATGATGAGAATGGGTTCATAGGCTCCAGCAGACTGCCAAAGGAAGGAGAGGGTCCATGACAAAAAAAAAAAAGGTTAAGAATCCCTTCTCTAGTTTTGTAATCCTACGAACTGGTTTCTAGCTCATCCCTACTTAGGGAGGTACTCCTATTCTGTTCCTGACCAAATCTTTTAATCTTGCCATTTAAATATGTGGCATTATATGGATCCATCCTTAAGGATGTTTCCTTACATACTCATTATTTCTTTAGACCTTTAGAAAATGGAAATGAAAAGAAAACACTTTAATTATAAAAGAGTTACAGCTGACATACATCAGCTTTAATGTTTACTTTGTTTGTTTTGTTTTGTTTTTAGGCAATTGGGGTTAAGTGACTTGCCCAGGGTCACACAGCTAGTTAAATGTCAAGTATTTGGTCCAGGCCACATTTGAACTCAGGTCCTCCTGACTTCAGGGCCTGTGCTCTATCCACTGCACCACCTAGCTGCCCCTAATGTTTCTTTTAAATATATTTCTTTCATGTTCACTTTAAAAACATTATCTCACGTGAGCTTCACAATAACCCTTGGAGTTAGGTATTATTATAATCCCCATTTTTTGAAGGAAGAAATTTAGACCCAGAGAGGTTTTGTGATTTACCCATGATCACACAGTTAAATCTCAGGGGTAGGACTGAACCCATGTTTTCCTGACTTCAGGTTTAGCCCTCTTGTCCACAATACCGGCTGCCTTTCCAACGTGTTGATTCCTTTACTGTTCTTTCATTAGAAGGCTTTTGGACAGCCTCTTTTTTGCTTCACTTGAGTATTTCTCAGGTTGAATTCTAATCTGAGTATGAGATTGTTCGCAAAAATGGTCTTTGATTAAAACCCAGCAAAACCAGACACAAGGGAAAGCCAGGTAATTGCAGCAAACTCAAGTTAAGGAGTAAATATATTCTTGCATTACCTCCTGGACCTCCAATACCTGTTAAAAGTCTGCAGTTAAAAAGGCAAGCAGATGTAATTTTATTTCCTTTTGTTTCTTTTAAGTCAAGATTTACATGTTATCTCTGAGCTCCTTTGACTGGAACACTGTGGAACCCCTGCAGTAGCGACTGGCCTAGCTGCTCAAAACCACTTGTGTCTACAAGTACTTTGTACACAATCTTTGGCGAGATTACAGAAAAGAAAAAGAAAAAGAAAAAGAAAAACAAGCTTTTCTCTTCTTGAGAACCTTAGAGACCACTAGTAAGGAAGATAAGCATTAGAGCAGGAAAAAGGAGGAAAGACTGGAAGTCTGCAGTTCTGAGTTCTAGCACCAGCTTTGCCATTTCTAGCTCTGGGAACTAAGCAAGTCCCCTTATCTCGTTAAGCTGTGGTTGCCTCACCTAGAAGGCAGAGTGAGCTAGACCTAATGATCTCTAATGGAATGTTCAACTCTAAAATCCTTATGCTGTAATTTCAGCAAAGACTCATTGTCTTGAACGTAGCACGTGATTTTTTTTTTAATAGCAAAAGAAGTGAAAGCAAAGTGGGTACACTTAAATTGATGGCTCAACAAATTATGGCATATAGATTTAATGGTATATTATTGTGCCAGAAAAAAATGATTAAAGTGAAGGCTGAAATTTTAAATATTATTTTATATCTATAACTTATATCTAGATAGATATATGTATAAGTACAATAATACATATAGGTATAGATAGATAAAGATATAGGTATAGTAATATATAGACAGATATAGGTATAGCTATAGATAGATTGAGATAGGTATAGATATCCAGATAGATATAGGTATCATAATATATAGATTGATATAGGTATAGATATAGTTATTGGTATAGATAGATACAGATATAGGTATAGATAGATATAAGTACAGTGATATATAGATTAATATAGGAATAGATATCTAGATAGATATAGATACAGGTATAGTAATATATAGATAGATATAGGCATAGATATAGATAGATATTGATACATACAGATATAGATATGTTTACTTGTGGATTCAATAAAAAAATGTAAGTTCC